GCCTCAGCTAAGGCCTTCAGTCACCACAGCAGAGGCTGGAACATATGGATTGGTGTTTGGGGAGTCAACCCTCAGTATAATCCAATCTCCCTGGCCTCATAATACATTGTTACATTGAAACTTTGACTTCAAATATATATACCAGATAACTCTAACCCTCACCTTAAGTGGGGCTGAGCAGAAGAGTGTCAGGAGGAGAAAAAGTCAGGAGTGAATGGAACCAAAAGTATACAACCCTGCAGATCAGTGTAAGGACTTTGTCTTAAAACTCAGTAAAACTAAAGCCATCAGAGTGCTCAGCGGAGGAGTGACACAATCTGGCTTCCCTCATAAAAGAGTCAGAGTGACCTTACTCTTTCCTCTTCATGGAGACTAAGGTGGCAGCAGTCCAGGTGGCAAGAAAGTGTCAAATTTGACAGGGGTGAAAAGTGGACTCAACAGAATATGCTGACTGCTGAGGTGAACAGCCAGAAAGAAAGTGTCCTGGATGACTCCAAGATCTTTGGCAAAAGAGACCATGGAGCAGAACTGCCTCCTGGCAAGATAGGGAAGACTTCGGGAAGAAAAACCAGGTGTTTGGCTGGGATGTGTTATATTTGAGATGTCTGCCAGATATCCAACTGGAGTGTAGGGTAAGTGAGTGTCTACTGTTTTGAGAAGGCACTAAGCATCCTTATTTACCATTTCACTGATTATAGTCAGTGCCACAGCTCCATGACAGAACCTTTCTGTTTTTGCCACGGACTCTACTCCCTACTTGTACTGCTTCATCAGTAGTGTCATCCAGAAGCAAGGGCAATGTGTGACCAAGCCTAGGGCACATCCTGAGGCCACACATAAGACTCTGCTGCCGAGGTGGTTTTCCCGCTTTCTAGGCACTTGGTGTAGAAGCAATCCCAGGTCTAAGGACTCAAGATGTTCCTTCAGAACAGGTCCTCAGGCTTAGAGCACAGCACAAGACACAGCGATATAGTTTCCCCCATCCTCAAATTATGTGGATTCCTCTTGGGATTATTATAACTAAGTGTGGCTTTAAAGATGGCTACGAACTGCATGTGTCTCCCCAAAATTTGTATGTCAAAGTCCTAAGTGATATTAGGAGGTGAGGCTTTTGTGAAAAGTGGCCCAGGAGGGGCCTCTCCCTGCTCTTCCACATGAAGACGCAGCTAGACAGAGGCCCACACTGGACACCAAATCTGCTGGTGCCTTCATCTTGGACTCTGTCCACCCCACCCCGCAACTGTGAGAAATGCATTTCTGTTGTTTATAAGCTAACCAGCTCATGACATTTTGCTATAGTAGCTTAAGCAGACTCTGACAGAACCAGAAACCAGTGGAGGATGAGGGGTGGGTGTTTCAAGGATATAAAAACTATAAAAAAGGCCACGTGCCAGAAAAGTCTCCCCCTTGAGACTGCTTAGCCAATCAGCATGTAAGAAATGCAGAAATGAATCCTTTCCAATAGGAAAGGTATCTTCCATAAAGGCCTGGACATAGGACAATCCCAGGAACGAGAGCCCTGTGCAGGCCCCTCCTCGATGCAGACTTGCCTGTCACCTCTGCCTTTGGTTATGTTCACCAGCTTCTCTATGCCTCCCGAGTCAGCCAAGGCTTTTGCGTTCTCCATGTTTTTGCTCGTCACCTCGTGCAGAGCACAGCAGATGGCCGCCATCGTCTCGTCGGACAGTATGCTGGGGCCGTTGCCACCAGGGAGCCGGTTGACCAGGTCTCGCATGGCGTATTTACCTGTCAAATGCAAAAGATTAATTTCTGCTTTCAAAAGGTATCAGGTTTTTGTTGCTGAAAAGATTGTGAGAGTGTGCACACTCTTAAAAATAAAATGTAAAAAAGAGACATTAACAGGAAAATAAGAATCAAAACCCACAGCAGAGAAGAAAAGCATAAATGTAATTGTAAAGAAAAAGTTAACAGTTAGGGCAATTTCACTTGAAGAAATGATTGATGTATAAAACATTATTGTCAGCTGCTGAAAGAAAATGTTAATCAATGTATAAATTGGGTAGACTAACCAAGTTGCTTTAGTTCAATTATTTTCTGAGTAATAAATTTTGATAGTAAATTTTATTCTTGATTGAATTCCAATACATCAAAAATACCTCACTTCCCTCTTGAAGCTTTTTAAAACTTATCTTTGCCTCTGGACCAAGTAAGGCTGCCAAATCATACTTTTCATTGAATCTTTCTAGGTCTCAATGTGTGAACTGAGTATAGTTACATATTTTTATCAATCTGAGTATGTTATCAGTTGACTTGATATCAGCAGCAACAACATGTTAGTTTTTAAAGAGAAGACAGGAGTAAATTTTTGCTATTAAAATTATAGGTTTATTATCTCTTGGGAGTAATGCAATAAAAACAAAGTACTTATAAGGCAAGGCTAGAAGAGTCTCACAGCTATTGAAGCAATTCTTTATAAATACTGAATTTCTCTTATTCCTTTCCAAAAAGGAATTATCTCTAGCTTTTTCAGTTTCAATTACCAACTGACAAAATGGAATAAATGCACTACAAACAAAAGAAATTAACTAAAGCTCGAGTAAATATTTTCTTAGGTTTTTGTCCCCATGCTAATAATTGAGTTGATGCTAAATGATGTTTTCATCAAAGACCTATTTATAAACAGCAGTAAGCAGTAGCCGACAGGCTCTACCTACACACTGCCTAATTTCTTTGTTTGTTTTTTTTGGTACTGGGGATCGAACTCGGGACCTTGCACCTGCAAGGTAGGCAGTGGAATCACTGAGCTAAATCCCTGGCCCACACTGCCTAATTTCTGGCATGTCAAAGGGAAGGCTCTGGCTTACAGCAAACACTGCTATGAAGAGTGGAAAAACAGTGATGACATTGTGAGGCCAGAAGATGAATGTGGTATTTGAGCACGAATAAGTTAGCTCTGGTGATTTTAAATAGTAACAAATGACCAAAAGGTGTATAACATATAATTTGTCATTTTGCTAAGGCATAACTTAAAATTGCACTCCTGAGGCTTGGAGCTCACTCTGCCTGTGAGTGAGCAAGCCCTGTGCTCCCCCCAAACCTGTAGCTCGAGAGGGAGGGCTGGTCCAACTCAGCTGAGCCTGCAGTAACTTTTACAGAGTGCTAAAACTTATTTTTAAATAAAGTGTGTGTGCGTGTGTGAGAGAGAGAGAAAGAGAGAGAGAGAGAGAGGGAGAGAGAGAAAAAAATGGTTCTGAAAAGAAAAGCTGTTGCTACTGCTGGAGAGAGTGAAGGGGTCAGAGAAGGGGCCTTAGGAACAGAAGTGCTGGATAAGGTAGACCAAAATACTGAATTCAGGTGGGGCTCACAGGAAGGAAAGAATCTGCAGGGAAAACAAGAAAAAGTGATTCATGGAACAGTTCAAGAATGTGCCAGCTGAGTTAAAAAAAAAAAAGTTCACTGCTGGAGAGATGAAATGCTAGTGAAAGTTAAAAATGGGTTATTCAAAGAGAGCATAGGGGTGATAGGTGTGTACTCAGAGAAGGCCAGGGCTCAAAATTCCTTCTTCCCAGACATCTTTGTACTCGGCAGTGCTGGTTTTATGCCTCCTATACTGTCTGGGTCTCTTTTCAGGCGTGGAAGATGATAGGCCATTAGAAGTCAACTTTTTTTTTTTTTTAAATGAACTCCCAAATTATACAAGAAATTCAAAGAATATAGACAAAACAAAAACAACTTTAAAATTTTTTAGGATTTATCTCCAGGAAGTGGTGGCATCTGAGTTAGAGAAAATCTACTGGAATCAGATACAAGCTGTACTACGAACAGGGCATGGACAGACCTCCTCTCCTCTCCAGAGGGATGATTTGGCTCAGAGAAATAGTGTGTTAAGAGCAGGTTAATCTAGGTACTAATTTAAAACAGCAGTCCTGCCAGGCACTGCTGAAGGGCTTTCATCACAAGTCACCACAGCAATTCCTTAAGGTAAATATTACTGTCCTTGTTCTTTTGTCTTCTTTCTCATATGTGGTATTTTAATATTAGTTAAATCTAGAGTGACACAAATCCACATAAAACCTGTACCATTTCCCCTTCCTCTTGAGTTGCTGGCTATGAGGCCGCATGAAGCTTGGCCACTTTTAAGGCATAAGTTGTTGCCTTTACACCTCTCTCATTTCCTCTCACACAGACCCTGAGACAGCAGGCACTGTCAAACCCTTTTAAGTGATGGACTGAGGAAGAATTCCTTGCACACCCAGTCCAGATTCAAGAATTGAGCCCAGGGAGTGGGGATTTTACAGGACACTCTGGGTTATGTGGACAGTGAGCAGCAGGTCCAGCTTCAATAAGCTCAGGTCTACGGAGCATTTGGGGTCATTTCTTTACTTCACACTGTTTGGGACACAGAAATCCCTAGACACAAGCAAGCTGTAGAGAGTACAAAATTTATTATGGTGACACTCATTCTTGGTTTTATGCAAGCACCATCCCTACCCTTGCATAAACTCAAGAGTGAAAGCCTAAAATTTTGTGTCCTGCAGTTCTTGCTTACCTCACTCTAGTCCTGATCCTGCTGTGTGTTGCAAATAGCCTGTGGACCCTGGTTATGGCCTGGGTTGAGGATTTACAGATTAGAGAGGGAAAGACTATAAAGCATTCACGTGCCTTCTTTTGAAATTTAGAACATGACAGTGTTGATGAATTAGCAGATGTCAGTACAAAACTGGAAAGGAAGACCTTTAAAAAAGCTTTTTGTTGCTCAGGAAATAAGATTTTTCTTGAGGAAGAGAGATACTCAAACTATCAAAGAGTACTGTAATGTCAACTGAAATTGCTGGCTTTTCTGGAAATTTACCTTCCCTGATCAAAGTTTAATTCATGAGCCTGCCTCCTGCTGAAAAAGAATGGTCATAAAGCACAATACACAAATAGGCCAAGAAACTGGGGACTAAAGCTCAGTTGTAAATACTCTTAAATGCCATGTATTGATACATGATCAAAAGAAGAGTTTTTGTAAACACTGTGCTTGCTCTCTTTTGCAGCTTACCTTGTCACCAGAACATACCTATGAGCTCCTTGTTGCGGACATCTAGAGCCATATTCCTCAAGGCAGTTGCCACAGAAGAGACAACTCTATCGTTATCCATCCTCAGAAGTTCAACAAGGATGGGGAGCCCTTTTTCTTTTCGGACAGCTGCCCGGATGTACGCTGCAAACTAGCAAGCAAAATAAGGCAGTAAGTAATGTCACACAGGGTTCCACTCGCACAGGTTATTGCCATCTAAAAAAGATTTTCCAAAAGCTAATAGATTAAATGTTTTCTTTCCAATTTGGAGATTAAATTTGTGGTGCCAGTAAAGAGAAAGTCTGGGAGATAGATAGGCTGGATGACTGATTTAAAAAGAAATCCCACAGCCTGAAAATCTCAAACCACCATCTGTCAGATATTTTTGTGCATAACAGAGAAGGCAATGATTACTTTCTATCTCAGATACATAAACATGATTAAGGAAGGATCACATGTTTTCTTTGCAGTTGGCCTCATGCCAGGTCCAGAGGCTATGAACAGGATGCCAGAGACAGTAGCCCATCAGCACATGTTAAAGGAGAGCCTGTCTCCATTCAGGAATTTGTTTTTTTCTGCATTCCCTGAAACAATATTTAGTTTTCAGTAACTTGTCAAAGAAATTGCTTGGAAAAAAAATCCCTTGTCTCAGAAGAAAAATTCTCCAGAAACATTAAGCACCGTAATTCATATACACTAGTGAAAGAGAAAGTATATCTGTGTGCAAAATGCATTCTCATTCAAGATTAGTTAGCTCTTGCTACTGCTGATTTATTTTTTTAAAGCCAGTCAAGAAATTCTTTTGTGACTATGAGGCAACTCTGTGAGTCAATTCGTGCACCATATGAATCGGAAATAACACTAAGTCATCAGTGACGCAACCCCCCAAAAATTAGAAAATGGGTCTTTAATCTTGGCTTGAGCTGTAATTGACGTTTTTACCAATGCAAAACATCCTTTAAAATCAGGATAATTGAAAGATTTTGCTCATGAAGCATCTAATATTTTCCTGCTGTGGCCAGACAGGAGGACAAACATCTACCAGCCCCTTGTTAAAATATGCAATTGACTGCCCAATCTCTTGAATACCAACAAAATAGATTATTTTAATAATACAAATAAGAGGAAAAGATGCCTTTCAGAGACCTAATTAACATTCTTCATATGAAATGATACTCTTCTAAATCAAATGAAATCTATAGGGGGGAAACAGAGTACATGACTTGCTATAAGGTAAAGCGCTCAGGCAGTTTCATCAACTTCTGTCTAAAACCTGCAGAACAAACTCTATCTCCTTTGGAGACTGATCAGCTCAGCTCAGTTCAGCTCAGCCCTGAGCACTGCTCCCAAAATAGCTCCTAACCTGATAATGTCTGTGGCCACGATTATCTTGTTATTCAGTGAAGGTCCAATATTTTGACTGACTACTCCCTATTTTGAAATCACTTATGTGTAATGCTATCATCTGACTTTCATTCACTGAGTGATATCAGAAATGAAACTTTAAGAGGCTCAAATTATACATATTTTAATTATCATCAAATGATCCTCTGATCAAAGAAGCTGGAGGTGAATACTAGTCTATAGCGTGAATATTTATAAATACCTTTGTGCCAGGAACTATTCTCAGTCCTCTGAATTTGTTATCTTACTTAATCTTTACAATCACCTCATCAGGTAGGTTATTAAGATTAACTCGATTTTACAGATGAGGAAAAGAGAAACTCAGAGATTCTAGGCTCCAGCTTGTAAGTGAGGGGCCAAGATTCAGAGCTAGTACTTAACTAAATTAGCACTTTAATTAGAAACAACAACAAAATAACCACATTGGTTTAGTTAGCACTAGACCATAAATATTTGTATATATTCAAAATAGCAGCCACCTGCATAAAGCAAACCATAGGCCTATCAATGCTTTTCACCATCATGGAAAAAGCACTGCCAAGATTCTCATTTTGGGTGGTGGTAGAGGAAGCCAAAAAACAAGCATTACAATAACTACTAAGATACACTTGCCAGGAAGTTTTAAAGGTTGAAATGATTTCAGACAAGGACTGTCTAGGAAGTTGATAGTTGACATTTAAACAGTTCTGGGAACTTGCTTATTTTGGTCACATTAGGAAACACCTTCAATTTTCAGTCATATACATATAAGGAAATACGGGACCTTAAGGCATCTGCATGCTCTCTAAGTGTCTGACAGGGGAAGAGAGGCCCCTTAACTTCCCACACAGTGCTGCCTGACCTCAGCTCTAACTCAGCCCTTCATCATCTCACCAGGATGCTGCACTGGATCCTAAGGGGAATCTCAGCCTCTCCTTTGCATGGCTACCACAGTGATCCAACAGTCTCCATCTCTTTGTTACTCTTTTGCTTAAACCCTTTCAGTGCCCCCTTGTCTGCAGATCAGGTCCCAGTTCCAGAGGTTGGCCTCTCATGTCAGCATGCAGTCCTGATCCATGGTGTTCTCACAGACCTTTGTCTGTTGTCCCCTCTACCTGTACTGCTCCCTTTATACCCCCACCTCAGAATTTGATTCATTCTTTTTTTTTTTTTTTGGTACTGGGGATCGAACTTGGCACCTTGTGCTTGTGAGGCAGGTGCTGGAACCACCGAACTAAATCCCTGGCCCCCTTAATTTGACTCATTCTTAAAGATTCCATCTGGGCAGCCTTCCATTCTCCTTGCTCCCTTCTTCTCTCCATTGTCTCTCCCCTGTACTGAGAGGAGTTTTGCTCACTTGCTTCTGATTCTCCTGGGGAGAGACTATGCCCTATTCATCTTTGGATCCCCACAGCAACTGGTTGTCTCCGTTTCCCCCTTCTCCCTTTCACAGTTGAATTCTAAGCATACTTATCTCCTTCATCCTATGCCTGATCTGACTACAAGGACAGAAGGAAGTGTGGACAAGTAGACGACATCCCACCTTCCAATTTCCGGCAGAGAGGTTCTGGAGAGATCCGGCGGAGCCTTCCAAGGTGGCTGGGTTAGAGCTTTCTGCTAGAAGAGTCAGATATGGTTTTACCACCGATGGATGCCACAACATCTCAACCCCTTTGGGGGACTTTGACAGTCCGGGGATAGGACCAACTCCATCCCACTGAAAGACAAGCAGCACACATTAAATGGAAGCAAAATGAACACGATCTCTAACACATAAAACCATTCATTTTTGCTGAACTCAGCTATAGGTATGTAGAAATGTTTGTCTTGCCAAATATGTGGTTTTTCATTCCCAGAAAAATAAAACTTTTAGAGTTTCATATTAAATTAAATGCTAACTTGATCTTCTTGTGGAGTTCTCTTTTTCTTTTTCTTCTTTTTCCCCCAGCAGCTTGGCTCAGAGTCTTTGCTGGGAGACTCTTTTCCTAGTAAGTCATCCAGTTCGTTCAGTCCAAGCAGCCGGGCCTGTGGGACCTCCAGTTCCAGCCGATAGGACAAGTTCCTCAGGGTGCACACGCAGTTCTCCACTGTCTGAAACCCAACACAGCATAAAATTGAATAATATCACACAAAGTGCTTCGGCACTGAACACTACTGATCCCAAATAAATGGCGAATATGAAAGAACTTTTTCACTTGTGGAAACCTGAAACAATCCAAAGAAAGAACTCCGACTCAAGAATTTTGGCAGACACCCAAATGCCTGGGTGCAGAGCACCCTCAGTACAATGGAGGGTCTGATTTATGCTGACTGAACTGTGAGGTGTTTCTGTGCAGGACTGTGGCCATGCCAACTGTACCCAGGACACCAGAACCTCATTCTGCCTGCCACTGCAAATCCACAACAGGTGCCACCTGATCCCCTGCCTGGGCATCATCCTTACCTCCAAAAGTTCTATTACTACCTCCTCCTCAATTTCCCCTCTCTCCATTATCTCTGAGGCATGTTCAGTGTTTCCTTTTTATTGACATTTTACCTTCTGTACATGGTCTTTTGTCTCTCAAAGTCTGTGTCACATGTCCAATTGGGGTCAGAGTGTCTCAAATCAAGTCCAGCATCTGCCTACCTAGCAAGCTAGTTTTTCCAAATTGTTACTCCTTTCAATTATATCTGCTGGTCTTTTGATTCAGTGAGACTCAAATAATAACAAGGTTGTCACCTTGAACTTCTCCCTGAGTTTTCTACTCATCATTCTTTTCTCTCTCAGACTCCTCTGCATAACAAGGTCTCTCCTAGTCCAGCCCATCCTGATACTACGTTCCTTGGGACTCTGACACTTAGTCCTGCCTCCCTGTTTCTTCCCATGTTCCTTAGCCCCTGAAGCAGATGCTGGTTGGTCATCACAGCTGATAAATGATGAGCAGAATGCTCAGGATGGAGCAGGAAAACAGGATGGGGAGGGAAGGGGCTCACGCTAGGAACAGACTGACCAGCAGGACAGCAGCAGGTGCATCAAAAGGTGCTGGGGTGGTGGCCATGGACTATACCGAAGCAAGAAGGGCAGAGAGGCTGGGGGATTTGAATGTACTGACTGAGAACTTGAACTCGGTAGATACTTGGGTATAGGTGGATCTGCTTCTAGGAGTATGGCACATGGAATTGGGCCATCACATGGAAAATGAACCTGGGAGAACCAGAGACGAAGTCAGGACCCATGCTAGGTCATTTATAGCACTAAGTCACTGTTTTTATGGTTTTAGAAACTATTAAGTTGTCATGTTCCTTTCAACTTGTAATTTTGAGACTTGTTTTTTGATGTAGAGTACAGCCTCAGGAGCAAGGGCAGCTTTAAAATTTCAGAAAGAATCTTCGGGATGCAAACAGTAGCATTAGGCAGCTGCTATCACCCTCACATAGCCAGGCAGGCACTGACCTTGCTGTCATAATCAGATGTATTCACGCACGTGTGGATCACATACAGCAGCGAGTCCACCAGCCCCTCACAGGATCGCATTTGCTTCCGGGCTTCTTCCCCTGCAGAACTGAGGTTCCTAAGTAGGTAGAGACATGTGGGAGCTGCTGAGATGAACAACTTACTCATTAGCCACAATGCTTACCTTAATAATGCTCTGATCTACTCATTACCTACCTTAACGATCCTACTCAAGGTACAACAGACTGCAGCCATTTGGATTTGGCTGTAGGAGGCATGCTGGAGCTTGCATTTGAACATCTTCAGGGCTCACAACAATGCCTAGCTCCCCACCATCCACACAAATAGAAAAGAACACAGGTGCTTGAACTTTAACTATACTGCTGTCAGGATATATCACTTTCTCACCTCCTAATGTCATTATTTAGAGGCCTATCTTGCTCATTCACAAAAAGCATAAAGTAATACCAAAAGCATAAAGTAATAAGATTGTTGTAAGGAAGAAATAAGTTGCTACATGAACAGCCATTACAAATGTGCCTACATAGAAGTTATCATGTGTGTTATTTATAGTGGGTGGCTGTTTTCTTCCTTGTTAGTCCATTAAATGTTTCTTCAGAGAACAGAAGAAACTACCATTTCTTATATAAAAATGTCAAATTAAATATGGATATTTTCTTGTGTTAAAACTTTTTTCAATTACAAAAAACTTTGAAAAATACTTGGGGTCTCATCCATATTATAATTTTTGATATTAATTTGTCTTTAAAAGTTGATACCACTTTAGAAGGATCTATTTCATGTCCTGTTAACAAGGGTCCTAGGGGAACTCTTGAGTTATGCAGGTTGAGAATTTGTAAAACTTGAACTGGCCTGTAGGAATGAGTTCTGGAATGAGTTCTAACTTGTTTTTCTGAGGCTTGAAAGACAGTGTTACCTGTGGTCCCTTTTCTGCTGTTATCTTGCATCACCTCCCTACCTCTCTGCAGCGCTCAACAGCTGAGCTCATCCTCTGCAGGCTCATGGGACCTGGCATTTGTCGCGTTAGCTCTAGCTCACTGCCTTCCTTCTCAGCTTCTCCCACCATGGGTGTCTGCAGGAGTGTCTGGGTTCTACTCTGGTCCCTCCCATCCTCACCTTTCACTCTTCTAGGTGCTTCCTTCTGCTCCACAGCTTTAATACAACCAACAATCTATGACCACCAAATGTTGATCTTCAGCCTGGACTGCGCCAGAACTCCATACACATGTATCCAGTTGCTTTACTGTATGGATAGCTAATTTGACTTCTCAAAATGGCCATGGTCAAACTACATAGCCTCAACTGCTCACCTGCCTTCAACTTTTACTCTCTCTCTCCTCTCACCTGCCTTCAACTCTCTCTTCACCTTAGCAGCACTTTCACACTTCTAGTTAATCCAGCTGAAGAGGTAGATGTTACCACCTCTTCCTCTGTATTCCTCATCCTTTATAGTCAATCGATTGCAAGTCTTATTAGCTCTTCCTCAACAAAATAATTCAAATCTGCCCCTCTCTCTGGTTCCTATCCAGAGGGCTCTCATCACTATAACATACTGAGCTTCCTGTCTCCACTTTTACCCATCCTCAGTCTTCCACAGCACTTGTTCTTTGGTCACTAAACTATGGCTAAGTTCACTGCTGCCCCAGAGCCTTCACACTAACCACTCTCTTGGCCTGGAACATGTGTCCTCCTGACACCTGACCCTCAAGTGGCTTCTGTGGTACTTCAGATGTAGGCTTAAATTTTACCTCACGGACACCAAAGTAACCATCCTTTGACCTTTACATCATCCTCTTGAATTTTTATGCCTATTGTTATTTTCCTTTTCCTTTGTCTGCCTTTCTCATTAGAACATGATTGTATCAGAGCAGGGAGTTTGTTTGTCTTGTTCTTCACTGGCTTCACATGGAAGGCATTCACCAAGTGCTACTGCCTGGAGCCACTTGGGAGCCCAAGGGTGCAACCTGCCCTGGGCTCTCATGAAGGCCTGGGGACTGGATGATAAGGACTATACCTCCCTGGATCCTACTGTAGGAGAAGAGGAGCTGCTGCTTCCCCAGGTGACTGGCTGGTCATGTGACCCATCTGGGATATGTGCATCTGGGTTAGGAGAGCGCGCCTATTGTCCAGGACCCTCCCTCCACACCTCTTTGTGCACAGGGGGCTGGCAGCCACTTCTCACAATGCTGGGAGGACGGGAAGTAGCACCACAGGCTCTCTTATTCCCTCTCAAGCTCTCTGTCCTGGGGATGCTCAGACACCTTCATTTGATGTATTAAACCACTTTGTGCTAGCACACTCAACACTTCAACACAGACCACTGACTCCTCACAACCCCAAGGTGGTAGTGCCATCTCTAAAGAGGGGACTGAGGCTCAGAGTGGGGCTGGAAGCCAGGCTATCTGAGGCCAGAGCCCACTCTTTCCGTTACCATGCCACTCTGCCCCAAGTCTCCAGGGTACTGCGATGCTGGGAAGTGGGTCAAAAGTGAGCTGAAACATGTTCATGGCAAATAAAGAGTCTCACTGTGTACAACTAAGAGAGGCTTACAGAGTTTAAATTTTACAGGTAATGACTAAAACAATAGTATTTGGGTTTACTTTCACTTGTTTATGAAACTCAAAGCCAATGGTTGTTGAAGTTATACAACTCTTCATATACTTTTAAAAGCAGAAGTAATTGACTATCACATTTTGAATTTAAGCAAAAACAAAAACATATTAGCAATCGGAATGTGATAACTGAAAGATGCTGTTAAAGTGGAAAACAAATTTTGGCAATAATCTCAGAATGAAATGACCTTCTTGAATAATTCCTAGAAGACTCATTTATAAGTCTCTTTAAGGCCACAAGACTGTACTCATGTTTTTCTTGCAGGATTAAAAAAGTTCAGTGGCCTAAACTGTGAAACCTAAGTTGAAACTCAGAGGTTACTAAAACAAACTCTTTCTATAGCCAATTTACCTTTGACACATCATTTTAGCACAGAATTAATTATATATAAAATTACAGAAAGAAGTACAGAATTTACCTCAGGCAGCCTGTCGTGTTACGCAGAACTAGTGAGGTCTGAAATTTAATTTTATGATCATCATCAAAAGAAGAGTTATTCCACCCAGAATGTGGGACAATCACAGTGTTTGTTAAGGTTGAGAGAGCATCTCGAATGATTGTCATCTTTACGGCATCACATGAGGATAAATTCCAAAGAACTCCTAAAAAATTAAATTTAAAAATCAAATCATCAGCTAGAGATCTTGCAGCTTTTGGAAAGAAATAAACATATTAGCCCTGATAGATATGAACTCATTCTGTCCCAAATCTAATCTATGGCTCATATTTGCAATCAGCCTGGGATATACCTTTAATAAGGACTGAGTGAACATACGTGAGCTTCCTGATTGTTATTACAAAGTCTTAAGACTTATTTTGAGGTTTTAGAGTCTCAGTATCTATCAGGCTGGATAACTGGTTTTTACAAAGCAAATCAGATTTACTCTGCAGAGGGAGGGAAGCAATTCAAATAGTAGTCAAAATATAATGTATCTGTGATTTTTATAAAACTACTATCTGTGATTTTTATAAAACTACTATCCAATGCACTACCCTTTATATTCGATGGCTGTGTGACAAATCATTTTTAGAATTAAGCAGGACTTAAAAAAACTTTTCTTGAAAGATTGGCTTGTTTCTTTTTTATCAACTTTCACTTGGTTACTTTTACTTCTAGGAAGCTCAAGCTTAAATATACCAATTTCAATAACTTTATTAGCATGCAAAGTTGTTACATTTGCTTTCATTCTCATTATTTAGATAAAATTTAAACATTTCTATCACCTTATTAAGAGTTTTAGGAGTGTAAGCTACTGTCATTTTATTTTATTTTATTTTATTTTATTTAGGTACCTGGGATCGAACTTGGGACCTTGTGCTTGTAAAGCAGGCGGTGGAACCACTGAACTAAGTCCCCGGCCCCAGTACTGTCATTTTAAAAGAATCACCCATGTTGTAGTTCATATCAAGATTTCTAGACAGGAGACTTAAAACATAGCTTATTAGAGTGTTATTTAAATTGTTAAGCATATCAGAGGGTCTTCATTTCTGTGTCAACTATGATATGGGTTAAACTGTTATAGCATATACATTTTCAAATAATGTTCATGTAGAAATTAGAGAGTTAGAGGTTAACATTTACCCTAATGCTATCTTCACACTGCTGTGTTTTCCTGAGTGAGAAGAAAGAGGTAGAGGGGAGATGGTTCAGATGCTTTTCTAAGCACTAAAGTTTCTCAGAGTTCCACAGTCCTGACATATCCTTGGCAAGCTGTTCAACTGCCTTTACTGTGCCTTCACAACTATCAACACAAATACGCTGCAGCCCTGTGGAGAGGAAGGAGCTGGAAAATCTGCCAGCATCTGTGGGAGCATGATAGGCTTGCCAACACGACTGATCAAGAGCACTGGCTGGAGATGAGACTTGTAAATGGCAGCTCCAGAGTAGTGTGAGCCATAGCGCCAACCTGGAAACTGCCTGCTCAGCCCTCTATAGGCATGTTGTAAAGAAGGATCTACAAAAGGGCAGCAAGCAGCTTTTTCCTTTGGAGACAAAGGAGAGGTGAAAGCAAATGGCTACAACTGAAGTGAGTAAAACATCATCCTGATTGTACTTAGAGGATCAGCCCTCCCTGTGTCTACCCACGTGTGGCAGAGGCAGTGGTCAGCAAGAAGGGCCAATGCTTTGGCTCTGTTCTGGTCCTGGGTTGTCTTTTGCACCTGTGTCCACCCCTTTTCTCTTTCACTTAGCTTTGATTTCTGACCTTGTTAATGTGATTCCCATATTGTCCTCTGCCCTAGGACTCTCCCCCTTCTCTCTCTTACACTACCACTGCAGCCTGTCAGAACCTCAGCCTCTGGAGTAGCATATATGGTTAGGCCTGGACTGTTGTCTCTTAAAGAGTGGTGGGAACTGGACGGGAGTGGAATTTAGTTCAGAATCAGGACAAGACCTAAGAATGAGAAACAATTCATTGGTCTGTCCTGGCCAAATAACAGGAAAAGGGAGAGAAGGCAAAAGAGTGGGTCAAGGGATAGAAGGATGGGTGATAGTTGCCATCACAAATGTGGCTTCAACATTTTCTAGTAATGAGGTCAGCCACACTCAACCTAGGGTACCAATGGGGATTGCCAAGTGGCATCAGCCAGCCAGTGGCAGCATGTGGCCCATAAGCCATGGATAAGGAAAGTATCATTTCTTAACCTCCCCTGCTGACAATTTTGTAACATGATTCCTAATGCCACAGGTGCAATTCTCTTTCTGTCAAAGCCTTTCAAACTCCTCACTTCACAAAATTCAATTCATGGGAGTGGGACCTCCATTTCAATAAGCTACTTTCTGCTTCACAGAGTAAATACATTCCAGTAAACTGCAAGGCAAGGTTTATGAAAAGTAAAAGCTATCATATAAGAGGATATAAATATAAAATTAGATAATATAGTTGCTTTTTAGTATTCAGAGGGGATGCTTCTGGTTCCCTATAGATACCAAAATGTGCATATTGCAGCCCCTTATATCAAATGGCATGTGTGGTATTTGCATATAACCTACACATTCTCTTATATACTTCAAGTCAACTCTAGATTATTTATAATACCCAATACAATGTAGAAACTCAAAACACTTGTTATACCATATTTTTGTGCTTTTATTTTTGTATTGCATTTCTTGTCTGCTTTCCTAAATACATTTTGATGTGCAGCTGGCAGACTCTGCAGATGCAGAATCTGGACCTCTGATTACATATCTTTATAAAAAAGTTAAACCTGTGCTACAAACTTCAGGTTAAATCATGACTAGCGAGAAGGGTGGTTCTTCAGCATCTTGAACCTTGTGGCTGATGCTGAGAATTTCTCTTACAGATGACAGGAAAATCTGTTATTTGTTGTTCTTGTCTCTGACCCTGACTACTTCTGGCAAGAGGATATTTCCCACTCTTGAGGATTGTGCTAGAATTTTGCTTTTCTTTTTCTTTTTCCTTTTCTCAGGCATTTAGATTTATGTCATTCTATAGTTTACTATTAGCTATTGTATTTACTTGGGATTGGACATAGTATAAACATTCATAAATCAATATAAACAAAGGTCTTACCATTTTTTGTGGGTTTATTCTGTGTAAAGTACTTGTGTACTTCACATATGATATTTTAGAGTCTAGGTGTCCCAAATGAATCAACTTTCTCATTTGATTGTTTTATAGTCTTCAAATTCTACACGTTGATTTTTTTAAAAGGATGAAAAATGCTTGTATTTCTAAATTTTAATTTAAATTTCATTAAGCAAGTGTAATGAGGAGCTACTGAATACCATCCATTCATTTAGGTTATGCAAGTGACATAGAAGCTGCTCAAATATATTTGTTGGTGGATTTACTTTATAGTCTGTATTTGATTTTAATTTTTCTTTTATTTTCTGCCTGTTAGATTTAGCTTAGAGCTACTACTTTCTCTTTGTGCCTTTTCTTAAAGCTGAGTATGTGCATGTGTGGTTAGGGAAAGATGAGAAGGAGAAAAAAAGGGGAAATAAAAAGGATCAAGATTTGATATGTATATGTACCAATTCCCTGTGACAAATATATTCACTATGTATTGCAAACATATACCCCCCCCACACACACACACACAAAGTCTGTAACTGTGGGGAGAGGGTTCGAGCAATGTCTTGGATCTTTAACAACATCTGTCAGCACAGTATTGCCTATCTTTCAGGCTGAGACCACTATTTCAGCTATGGGGACAGGAGGTGCCAGAAGTAAGAGTTAAAACAACTCTTATTGAGGCCAGATCCTCATCCCTGAGACTGAAAAACAGAAAGGAGCAGTGCTGCCAAATTATAAAATATGAAATTGTTTTAAAAATGTAACCATTCAGTAGACAAGCTGAGTAGGCTCTCTTTTGGTTAACTGAGATGACTTATTGATCATAAAACCAGTCTACCTTTGAAATTCCAGCTTTCATTTCTGCAATTGTTATTCTTGAGCAGAAAATAGGAAAGGTTCTATTTTGGCTAAGTATGTGGCATTCAAGAGACCCACACAAAGGCAGCTTTATCATTCTGTACTGCGCATATTATCCCTCTAATCCTGCACTTTACATGTAACACAAAGAGCTACAACATTTGGTGTGGATTTAACTAGCCACTTCCAACATCAAAGTAAGTCTTAAGACATTGGTTTTTCTTTCATACTTTCAATCTATATAAGGTTTTGTAAAGCCAAAGCAACTAGTTCTGATCAACAAATACTGGATGAAAAAGGTTCCATTAAACTTAAAAGCCTTAGATATGGAATGATTAATTTGGCTTTTCTACTCTAAATAAAAAGCACTATAAGACGAGCTAATACTACCTGCATTCGCTTCCCTCACTAAAGTAGTAATAAAACAGGGTTCTCACCACTTTGTCTAAGGGCTCCATTTAATGGGTCAGGAAGAATCTTTCTAGGGCCATAAGTAAGGAAAAGAAAATAGACCTACTCCAGATATAGCAAGACTGCTGAGAAAATGGAGAGCTGTGGGATTAGCATTCTCCATCAACCTGCTGAACCTCCAGCTCTGACATCCTAATGCAAAATTTGCTTCAGAAATATTTAGCACCAGGGGCCGGAGATTTAGCTCAATGGTTTCGCTGCCTGCTGTGCAAGCGCAAGGACCCGAGTTCGATCTCTGGTACCAAAAAAAAAATTTAGCACCATAGTCTATTATCTCCTGGTTCTCAAAAAAAAAAAAAAAAAAAAAAAAAAAAAAAGTTAAAAATAAACTAATTGGTTTAGAAAGCTTGAGGTTTTATTTAATTTAAAGTAAGTAACTGCTTGTTTTGAGGACTATGAATATACATTTACTAATTAAGAAAATATCAGGAAATCTCATGGATATTATTGTGAAAAACAATGCTTATTCTCTACCATGAGAAAAAAGTACACATGATTATGAATAAGCAATAAGCACAATGAAATACTGCCGTAAGAGATGAAAGTTTGTTCCTCCCCCAAAAATAAAAAAGTAATTAAACTGCTATTTCATGTAAAGCCTATGCTGCAGAATTTTGAAAGAACTCATATTTAAAACTAGCTGTATAGCTATCATAATGGCTGACTGATAATTTTATAATCAAATTAGAAGCTGATTTATGATTAAAATAATAGCAACTATTAGAAAACCATATTTTAAAAAGGGCACAAAAAAACCCCAACCAAACAACAAAGTGCAATTTCTCTGGTAGCCTAAATATACAATAGCCTACACATTTTTCCCCCTGATATAAGACAATCTGAAATTATTCATTTTAATATAGCATTCAGTTCATGTCCCTTTACCTATTTATAAAAAGCAGCACCAAAAACACTGATGTAGATATTGCAAAAAAAAAAGTCCATAAATTAACAGTATGGTTTAAATATCCCAGCCATGCCCTTGGATTTCCTTTTATGAGTCAAGCTGTTCTCAGTGTCTGTTCTTGGTGTTCTGTTTCAGTCATGATCTTTCATAAGATGTCTGTAAGGTAAGTAAAACTACCCTAGGCTCGAAGGCGTGAAGAATATTAAAGAAGGTAGCAGACAATGAGGACTTGGCCCCACAGTCCCGGGACAAAGCAAGTGTCCTGAAAAGTTAGTCAACTCGACTAACTCTAGCTCTCTGGGGGACAGAATACTGCCTGGGAAGGACTTTGATCCCCTTCTGGCAATTCTGCAACTACAAGCTTGGTGCTGGTGTCTCATGCATACCCACCTTGTGGAGCATTCTTGAAAAACAGGTAGAAATATCAGATTAATAGCACAATTTAGTAACATTAGGGCTATAAAATGCATACCTATAATCTGTTGATGACAAAGGTAGGTGGGCCTCTGATCTGAGTCCCTGCCTACTTCTAGCGTGTACCTTTAGTATTATTTCCTACACAGTCTCTGGGTAAAACACTCAGGAGATAGCAAAACATATCCACATTTCTTCTCTTTGCAGTTATCTGTGAAGTTCTCCCCTAACCACCAATGGGTTTTTTCTAAACCTCTGTGGCTTTGTTTTCAGAAAAGAGTAAGGTCAAGATGCTATGGTGACTAAATCCTGTCATAATGTGGTCATCTGCAGCTCCCTGCCATTCTTAAATCTATGTAACTCATACCTTTTAATTCCTGTTGTCTCTACCCAAGCACAGTACAGATTGAGCATTTATAATCGAAAATCTGAAATGCTCCAAAAATCTGTAAAGCCTATGCAAATAATCCCAAATCTGGAAAACTCTAAAATGTGAAATACTCCCAACTCCAATCATTTCACATAAGGAACACTTGACCAGTATAGACATGTGGCATCCAATATGGTAGCCATCAGCCAAAAAATAGCTATTGAACACTTGAAATGTGGCTAGCCTAAAATGACTGCATAAAATACATGCTAGATTATGAACATCACTTTTTATATTGATTAGAAGTTCACATGATACTTTCAAACTGTTGGGTCAAATAAAGTACATTACATTGTTTTGTTTCCCTTTCTTAATTTGGCTACCAGGAAATCTAGAATTACATGTGCAGCTCACATTATACTTCTGTTGGGCAGCACTGGTAGAAACATTTGTTTGATGCCAGTTTCTGAAACAGATACATAGGCTAGGCATCTGTTCTTAGAGGTCTTACAACAAACAGTTACAACATAAAGCAGTTGTGACAAAGAGTAGGAAAAGTATTAAGCATGGCACAAATATCCCGTGTGCCATGTATTCCACACCTCCTCACAAAAGACAAAGCAGCAGGTACTGCTTATCACCAAGGAAGCTAGTATTTGATAGAGGTGATTTGGCTGGAGCCATAGAGCTGGAAGGAAACAAGTACATATGGCTTCAAATTCCACATTCACATGATACCCTGCTGTCTCTCCCTGGGCAGTTTTCAAAGTATGGGAGCTTCTGTTTGGTAGGACTGGAGACCATCACATTTGAGCTGGCATGAGAAGGACAGAAGCAAGGAAGAAGTAGGTGTGGGTGGGGCAGCTCTTAGGGCATTCTGTAGCCCTGAGGGAGGAATAGGAGTGGAGGGGCTTGAGGTTGGAGCTTCCTGCAAGGCAGACATAGGAATAGCAGATTGGGACTGGCAAGTGGGGAGGTTTGAAATGCAGCCATAGGTGTGTTACCTCAGGGATGATGGTGAGGCTAACAGACAGGAGGGGCAGAGCCTATGTCCAGCACAGTGGTAAAGGACTGAGGAGAGGGGAAGGCCCCAGCACAAGGGGGAGTGCTTGTGGTGAGAATTTAGAGCCTGATGTGGGCTGAGGCTGGTATTAAAAATGATCCCCGGTACCAAAAAAAAAAAAAAAAAGAATGAATAGTTTGCATACATTTGAAAATATTGTGCTGTTAACAGAAATGGGGAAACTGAAGGGGTAGCAGAGAGAGCGGTGTTATTAAAAATGTCTGCCATTTGTGGCTTCAGGCTAATAGCTCCACCTTTCCACCAGGACTGTGACGTCACGAACAAATTATAAGCTGAAATGGAACTGAAACAACAGGAAAGCAATTATTACAAGAGAGGGACAAAAGTACTGTCTTCAATTACAGAAAAATGCCTCTCTGGATAAATTCTGAGGAAAATAAGTCATGGCACAGGAGGTCTCTGAAGTTTGTCCAGTGGCCCTAAGCCACTGAAACTGCAGAGCCACTCCTGGCCTACAGGCATGAGGCATGTCTTCCTCCTCTCTGGCCTGCCAGGCCTGCTGGTTACATCCTCCCTGGCTGGCCTCTCTGGCTTCCTGGGTAGTGGGTAATGCTCTTGGGCCAGCCAGAATGGCAGGACCTTCCCTGCTCAGTGTTCTGCGGGATTTCCTGTCAGACACCGAAGAACTCACTCAGGCCCAGCTGCAGTGGTGAAAGGGCGTTGGTGTTTCAGATTTGCAGCAGCAGCAGGGAGGGGTTGGTCAGGTGATCTGAGGGAAGGTGCTTCCTAGGAGGGAGCTGTGGAAACTAAAGATGGGGGCTGGAGCAGCAGCTGCACCTGGTAAGGTCCCCACCTACACAAGCAACTTGAAGGGGTTTGCTCCTGCTGTTGAAATTACTCCCCAGATGAAGGACATGGGTGATAGATCTTAGCGTCTTTAGCGAATGCAAGTGCTAGCTTGTGTTTCTGTGATTTTGTGGGCACAAAGGTGGACCACAGAACCTTTGAAAAGATGTATCAATTTTAGAGATCCATTTTCAGAATCATATTTGCATTTCAACACATTCTCTTTTATTCTAGGTAATTTCATCACTTCTTGGGTATGGTGAGAGGATTAATGACACAATGCAGAGTCCTATATTCCCTGGAAGAGCATTTCTATAGAAAATAAATAAGCTTACAGAAATGCTGGCTAAAAATTGTTCATAAGGCACATAAAGGACGGTTCCTTCTGTTAGGAGTCAGTAAAAGGGAACAGGTTACATAAAAAGAAACTCGTGAACTGTCCTGAGGCAGCAGTGGCAGTGTAAGCAGTGGCCCCGCCACCCTTGTTGTTCTGC